GAATGTAATATTAATAGCGTATTCACTTTACTTCGATTGATAAAATTCATTTTGTAATTGGACTGCATGCTTACACGTTTGCGGAAAAAACACCAAGAACCCTGCCCCGAACCGTATGTAACAAGGTGGTAAATAGAGCTTAAATTTTCGGCTCCGAAATTGTTGAACTTTTGAGGCCTCGATACACAATCAAATTCCCGAACCAATTACCATCAAAATGTCGCGAGTCATCAGTATAAAAATCGTTACTTCGCCTACATTTCAAATGAAAACCTGGCAGAAATGTTTCTTGTGGCATGAAATGATGAATGGTGGCACTCTATTCTGATCAAAATTTGACGGTCCGTCGAATTTTGATCAAAGAGGACTGTTGCATGGTGACCATCAGTTATCAACTGGTCTACTTTGATCGGAATTGGTTTGGAATTTGATCGTGTATCGAGACCTTCAGGCTTTGTTTTCCCCGCAAACTGGTTTGGACCCAACGCCATTTTACCACCTTCTTAAATGTTTGACAAAAAAATTTGTCAAATTTTTTCATCCGATCTCTTCAACGATGTCTCACCAATGACATTTGTATTGCGTGACGACGATTACGTTCACATTGACGTCACCAATGAAGGTGACATTAACTTTCACGATGATTTCATCAATGGCGTTAACGATGATGTTAACGACGACTTCATCGATGATGTCAACAACATTTTATAACGATGACCTCACACAGGACGTTGACGATAACATCAACAGTGCATTTGACGATATCGTCAACGATGACTTTGACGATAACACTCAATACTGCAATCTATACTGCCAATGAGATTTCGCTCAAATTCGGGAGAAAAGTTAAGAAACGAGGCTTTAATACGTCTCTCTAATCTTCGACTACGTTCAACATGTTGCTCGCGTAGCCCTTGAAACACGTACTGTAAAAAAAACCGACAAGAACCATTACTATATGGAAATAAAACAACGGAAAGAGCGTTCATTGATGACGGCGCAGAGATACAACTATTCGTGCTTGATGGATGTCCCTGTTGCGTCTGCAAAATTGAAGGCGCGATGTCGTGAGGCGCTAACTCACAATGTTCCACTCTACACTGCTGATGAAATTTCGCTCAAATTCGATAGAAAAGTTAATAACGAAGCCATATTACGTCTATCCTATTTTAGACTGTGTTGACAGTCGTTTTTTTTTTTGTTTTTTTTGTTTTTTTGTTTTTTTTTTTTTTTTTTTTTTTTTTTTTGTTTTTTTTTTTTAATTTAACTTCTAATTCATTTTTACAATTTGTAAGCCTACATCTAAAGTTTGAATGTACCGACCCCCATTGTTGAGATGGAGTTTTCGTATGTTGATAGGTAGTGCCAAACATAATCCCCAATAAAACCCGTGTTAAAATAATATTTTATTGCGAAACCTAGCAAACCAAGAACTCAGATCTGATTCATCGTCACATTTATTAAGAGGAATTTTTTACATATCCGGAGCTGTATGACACTCTTCAATGAGAAATTTCAGGCTCTGGAACGTATCATCTGGCAACGAAGTGATAGTTGAATTAATGCTGAAATGAAAAACGGGTCAAGTTAACAACTCAAAAGTGAGTCAAAGGTTTATAAAACGCTGATAAAAAGAAATCCCAATAACAGCACCACATAAACTTCAATCAAAACACTCACGATAGAATATACAATTCTTGGGCAAATAAAAAATAATTAACAAGTTTCCATCAGCGATGGAAAGAGAATAATTAGAAATCTTACCACTAAGCATTTAAGAAGGGGTGAACCATTCAAGTGAAACCTCTTTAGATAAATAGCCTTGAGAAACAAAAGCGTGAAATCATTCCGTTGAGTGCTTATTTGAAGTGATTGCGTTTTCAGGTATTCTTAATCGCGCTCAAGTCTTTAGGGTTTTAAGTTCGACTTGAGTCTTACATTTCTCGTTGTTCCTGGAATCTTGAAGCCTTTTTGCTTCGATGAGTAAGAAACACTCCAGATGTACCGAAAATAGTCTGTCTGAAAGTGCGAGAGAAGCATCCACTAAGAATTCTAACATTACGAATGCCCAAAGTAATGATGAAACCTAAGGAAGTTGGTAAAGAGCTATCAATCAATCATTATCATGCAAAAAAGAGCCATATAAGAAAAGTTTTTTTAGATATATTCAGAGCGCACCATGATCTAACCAGTTTGCCTTCATAATATCAATCAGGCAATAGTGGTGGCTTAGGAGCAGCAATAGTTGCTTGAACTAGTTGTTACACCTTCACTTCTTTGAAAATGTAGTTTAGTTCAATTATCTTACGTCTTATTCATGCATGCTCCTTTATCCATTGCAACCATCCGCATCCACCAATAGGATCACTCCATTCTCTCCGTGTCTCCTATGTCTATCAGTACGTCTATCAATTTCAACAGTCGACCCGTGAGCAACCTGAATCAGGCAGGCCACCTAAAAATATTAGACTTACGTGCGCCTATGTTGCCGAAACCCACTGTTGCTACTTTTGAAAATCGTCTCGGAGCGAAAAGACAAATGGAGCGCATTTTGCAATAAGGAACGACTATTTCCTGCCCGTTTTAGAAACAACGCACATGCCATTGGTTTCCCTATGCAGATATATGCTTTTACAGAAGAGCCAGAGATGGTGGTTCCTTACTGCAAAATGTAATCCAAATCTCCTTCCGTTGAACGTAATTTAGATTAAAAAACTATAGGTGTTCGATAAAAAACGTTTGCCTTGTAGTTCCATTTCATTTCGATCTCCTTTGTCTANAAACTCTTCAATGAGAAATTTCAGGCTCTAGAACGTAACACCTGGCAACGAAGTGATAGTTGAATTATTGCTGAAATGAAAAACGGGCCAAGTTAAAAACTCAAAGATGAGTTAAGGGTTTATAAAACGCTTAAAAAAGAAGTTCAAATAACAGCACCACATAAACTTCAATCAAAACACTCACGATAAAATATCCAATTCTTGGGCAAATAAAAAATAATTAACAAGTTTCCATCAGCGATGGAAAGATAATAATTAGAAATCTTACCACTAAGCATTTAAGACGGGGTGAACCATTCAAGTGAAATCTCTTTAGATAAATAGCCTTGAGAAACAAAAGCGCGAAATCATTCCGTTGAGTGCTTATTTGAAGTGATTGCGTTTTCAGGTATTCTTAATCGCGCTCAAGTCTTTAGGGTTTTAAGTTCGACTTGAGTCTTACATTTCTCGTTGTTCCTGGAATCTTGAAGCCTTTTTGCTTCGATGAGTAAGAAACCCTCCAGTTGTGCCGAAAGTAGTCTGTCTGAAGGTGCGAGAGAAACATCCTCTAAGAATTCCGACATTACGAATGCCCAAAGTAATGATGTAACCTAAGGAAGTTGGTACAGAGCTATCAATCAATCATTATCATGCAAAAAAAGAGCCATCTACGAGGAGTTGTTTTTTTGGATATTCAGAGCGCACCGTAATTGAAGCGCTAGATGCAAAAAGGGCATTTCTTCGTTGCGTGTCTCAGAATATCTGCGAACGTTTCATCCGTTAGAAGTAAAGCAAGTGTGTGGAATTTGTTGAAACTTTTACCGAATTTTCTTCGTGATTTTACAATGCTGAAACCGAGACTTTTCAGAAAATTTACCCAACAGTTTCCTCTCTAAAATAATTAGCGGTGGGGATTCTGAAACACCGCAACCAAGAAATGCCCTTTTTGCACCCAACGCCTCAATTTTTGTTTAAAAAAACATAAGATGTTTGATAAAAAACGTTTTCTTTGTTATACCATTTTCATTTGACTCCTTCGTCTAATGCCTTGTTTATCAGTTTAAATAATCAGCCTGCAGTTATCAATACCTCGATTTTCAACTTTCACAGACCGTTTTCCGGTGGACGTGAACATCGATAATTTTCGGTACCTACATTATTTAAACGGACTCCCCACCAGGATCACGAACTTTCGAGTGACGCCACCACTCCACACTCGAAAAATCCCAAAATCCAGGCGCAAATCCGCGACAAAACCTCACACCTGAGCACGATACCCCGTCGCGCGTAAAATCATCCGTCATCGGTCGCAGCGCTAAAGCAGAGGCTCACCCACACACACACCCGCAAACACGGACACCAACACACCCACCGAGACAGCTTTATCGGCGCCGACACACCCGCTTGTTTGTGTTGGCGAACCGTTGGATGATGAGCAACTCAATCGAGAGGGTCACCCGCCTCGACCTCGACCCATCGATTCGCGCCCGCATCTCACGCCTGCAAAATATCGAAGTTCGAGGGATCGATTCTCGAGGGGTCGGGGCGTTTATCCGTCGCGCCCGAGTCGAATCACGTCCCGTTGTTTGTCGAGGCAACCTATGCAACCGGCGCTACACGGGGTTGGTGCGAAGGGTGGTGGAGGTGGGGGGGGGGGCTTCCTCACCAACACAAACATCGCAGATTGGAAACTAAGCGCCGGGCGCGCTATCTTAATTATTATGTACACAACAAGTGTCGCTTGAGCCAAGTTGAGCCCCCTGCGCCGGCTGCCGGGGCTTGTTGCCTGGTGATAAGTCCCGGGGAGGTGCCTTCGCGAAATTGTTTTTTTCCAACCCTTCCAGGGCTCCGTCGGGTGGGGTGAGCGTCGGGGGTTGGAAAAAAATGTGGGAAATGACGCCACCTGGAGCGTCCAGCCAAATTGAAACGATTATTTTCCATATCACGTGAGCGCCAAAATTGCGAATGCGGGAAAAACGAGAAAACCCGTTTTATTCCCTTTTATGGCCATCTCCGAATTTTAAAAAAATGTATGTTTTGAAGAAGGCTATTTTGAAATCGGATATGATTGATTACGCCAGAGAGAACAAAGAATAAGCAGCCACTCTACTACCAAATTAGAGGTTGGTCCTTACGTGATTAGGAAAATGTAAAAAAACTTTTCGGTGTATTGTTAAATACCAAAAAAGGCCATAAAAAGAGCCATCTTGATCCTAACCATGGGCGTAATTTTTGTTTCAGATTGGATGCTGCGGCGCAGATGGTCCGATGGACTACGTGAATTTGAACCGTGCCCTGCCGACCGAGTGTCGTGACACAGTGACCGGCAACGCTTTCTTCCATGGATGCGTTGATGAGGTCACTTGGTACCTTGAGGAGAAGTCAGAATGGATTACTGGCATCGCTGTCTTCCTGTCTACTATGCACGTAAGTTTAATAGCTGCAAAAACATAAAACATGCGAGGGGGCCTTGAACTTGTTAATACTGCAAATTACTGGGTCCTTAAGTTAAATAATAGACAGTCGCCTTTACAGTAGTACATTAAAAATTTGGGATGCAACATTCTGAAGTGCTTTATTTGAATGAACATGCGTTTTGATTGACTCCTGTCTCTATTCTCCAGCAAGCTGCGAGTTCCGAATGATAAGGTATGAAGATGAGGGTACACAGGTTCCGATTGTACATCATAAGTCCATTTAATTTATAAGGTTTAAAAATTCGCAACTTCATATTTGATTATAATAATATTCCTTGTTTATAAATTGGACTTCATTTTGCACTTAGGAACTACGATATCTGGATCATTCGTTAAAATACTTCTGGTCGTAGGGGAGCTTATGGTTCATACGTTGTTTCTAGACTGATTTGAGCCAGACATTTTAAAAAATGAAATAGAGACGGAAATTTTGAAACGTAGCAACGGAGATACGTGGTTTCGCACTCTGGCCATGGATACGTGGTTTCGATCAAATATGAAAGAACTATTATAACCGTTGTATGCGTTTCTTACCAGCTGACAGCTGTCCAAACGAAATCCCCCACCCCTCTCCACCCTCGAAAACCTACCGATCGTCCAATCGTTCCGCACCGACAATACGTTCAAACAATGTATATCTACGTTATTGTTTTAGGGATGATTTCCTCATCGGCTACCTTGGCCACGCCGCACAGTGGAACGTACCAATAGAATAGATTAAATAGGGAATTTTTGTCCAAAATTTCAAAGTTCAATGTTTATTTTGTCACGAATTCAATTTCAAGGTGAGTCACTGAAAGGAAATTTCACAAAAAAATCAAATAGAACCACTCTTGAAATTTTTTATTTCATACTTTTGAAAATATAGTTCAAAGCGTTCAAAGTTTCCAGGTTTTGTCCGACTTCTACTCCATGAATCATTTGAAGAAACAAAAATGTTGAAAACTACCAGATTAGAGTCAAGCACTAAAAATACATTAAAAATTATCTAGTCAGAGGGGAGTTTCGTTAAAATCCGACGCATTTCGACAACTTCGGTCATCCTCTGGGACGCGACACCTTCTCCCATTGACTCAATCCACTGTGCGCCGCGTCATCGATAGCGTTCCCCACACGCCCAAAACCACATACCCTCCCCGGAGACACCATCCACATAAGCGATTCTTCCCTCACGGGGTAGTATTTATGATAGAGCGGTCGAGCGAGGGATTCGGTTACCGGGGGGATGAAATCGCGGCGACGGGGGTGGGGAGGGGGGATTCGGAGGCGATCAATTATAATGAGCGGCTATCCTGACAGTTAACAGCCAATTATATTCGTCGGAGTCGTTAGCGGCACACGGAGCCGAGCTTCGGAGGAAGGATAATATTTACCTTCCGCCCACCGACACCGACGCCGCGCCGAGGCAGCGCCATGTGGATTTGTCAAACGCTTGTAACGGGAGCTTCCGAGGGGTGTTGTCGGGTTGAATCGCTTCTGTTGGTACTCGAGGGGGTTGTTCGTGGACGGAAACGTCAAAATATGGAGCTCTTAGGGGCTCTTACTGAAGTTCAAGTATTTCGTAACGCACTTTTTCCGATTGTTTGACCCCGCTCCCCCCTTGTACACCGAAAAAAATAATATGCTGTTTTAGCATTTAGGATGTCAAAAATGTGTCTGGTGATCCCAAGATGCTGCCTTTACTGCCCGCGCAGTTGAATTTGCATTCACAGGATGTAAAATTAACTGCGCAGGCAGTAAAGGCAGCATCTTGGGATCACCAGACATATTTTTGACATACTAGTTGTTAAAACAGCATATTATTTTTTTCGGTGTATAACACAACCGTAACGCCACCGCACACTCACCTTCCCTTATGAATTACGTAACGCTGGCCTGATCCTCCCCTCCAATTTTCAAAATATCCAAAAACCGCTGAGAAAAAAGCTTAGGAAAAAATGTGGGTTTTTTTTTTTTTTTAGCTATGTCGCTGAAATACCACGGGAAGAGAACAACAAAGGTGTGAAAACACTTGATTAAATTTTTGATCGAATGTTGGACTATCAACAATGCGATATCAGCAACGAGGTCGGACAGTAACATGTCCGTTCACTGTAATTCCAATCCAGATCGCTGTGCATGTTATTATTGTGGCGCCGTTTAGCACAACACGGCAGCTGTAACACATTTCGCCTTCAATCTAGGAAGTAGGCAAAACAGCATCCTTCACGCTCGAATAGTGGTATCATCCGTGATGTCGGCATTCACGGCATTCACCTACTCGCTATCTGGCGCCATAAAGGCATACGATGCGTGTCTACTCCAGGGAAGTGCATTGGTCAAAAGGTCGAAATATTCAACAGTCTACATAGGTTAGCATTTACCGATTAAAAAATCTTATCAAACTTGATAGCAAAGTTTCACTAACACAGTAATTTCTGTGTTTATAGATACTTTGGTTTACATTGAGTTACCTTTTTTCCATCACGTTGAGCAAATGGACTTGATTGATTGACCACATATTTGTTAAATCGACCAAAACTTTAGGTTACTTTGAAACATATGGGGTTTCTCTAGCTCTCATTCAGAGGTTGCTCTTTGCGAGTGACTATCACATTGGACCATCACCCTATTCTGCCATGCTAAGGATAAACGCCGTATGAACATTTTAAAAGTAGCCAAATTCCCTTTAATAATGTTTTGTTGCTGCAGAAAGTAATGCATATTTCTCCTTGAAATTTTCAGATGTTTTAGATTAAATCGTACACGAATTTGTCTGAAAAATTCGATGCAAAATACTCACAATCTTCCAAAAAAAATTGTTTTTTATTGAATGAAACTGGCAACATCTAAAGATTCATACGGCGTTTTGCTACAGTGCGGTAACTGCTGTCCAAGTTCGATCCTAGGGACTCGCGCCTGATTTTTAACAATGTTGCAAAATTTCAATCCGAATATTTGGTCAATGTAACTCAAAAAATATCGACAGCGCCTTTAGGTTACTTTGTGTACTATTTCTCATATCAACACAAAAGTTCGGTTACTTTTTCTTAATGTGTAGAGGGTTGAAAGGTTGAAGACACCATTGCTGCATCAACACTTGATTTCTCGGATAAGATCCAAAGATCTAACACGAATCAAAATAAACACGAGAACAGCACAAAGTTCGATCCGCAAATTTGGTCGATGTAACTCAAAAAATATTGACAGCACGGTTAGATTACTTTGTACTTTACTTCTCATATCAACACAAAATGTCTGTTCATTTTTCTTAACGTGTCGGAAGCACGTTGAAGACACGAATGCTGCATCAGCACTTGATTCCTCCGATAAGATCACAAGATCGAACACGAATCAAAATAAACGCGAGAAGAGCACAAGGGCGAGCCAAATGAAAATAGATTGAACGGCGGAAACGGCGATAAGATTTATCGAGGAGCCATATTTTAAATCGAATTTAAGTAATGAGAAATAACGTCCGGAGCAGCAACTTGTTACGACAACCTAATCATTCGGCCCGGACCCGGGTATAGCAATTAAATTACGGTTCCAGCCATAAAAATGACGAGTGAACGTGGCGCGGGGGCGGGGGCGGGAGGAGGGGGCGGCGGAGGGGAGTTCAAAAGTTGCCCGGCAAAAGTGCTGAACTTAGTTTTTGAGCCGATGATAAATGTGGGCGAGGGAAATAAATCAAAGCTCCTAACAAATACAACAAGTCATCCGTGTGTGATGTTCATTCCGTATCGTAAACTGTAACCCGAACCACGCGTTGCCGCGTCTTCGACATAAAAAAAAAACTTGGAATAGACCGCTAGATGGACGCATTAATGCTACAGGGAACTATGCTGCCGTGCTAAGGGAAAACGCCGTATGAACCTTCAGACGTTGCCAAATTTCCTGTCGTAGATGACGTATTTTCGGGAAAATGTATGAATATTTTTCTTCCCACTTTTCAGATAATTTCGTTCGCAATTTCATCTAAAGTTCCTGCAAATTTTAAGGAAAAGTATTCATAACATTCCTCAAAAATTAACATTTTATCGGAGGAAATTTGGCAACTCTCGAGCGTACATACTGCGTTTTTCCTTAGCACGACGGTATGTCACACGTAAACCCTATGCACATAGTTCCTTTTAGCATAAATAAGTCAAGATAAGCTATGAATTGAAGAATTCTGATACATGTTTCGTAACTAGAATTTCACGAAAAACACGATTTTTGCATACAAAATTACTGAAATCAACCCTCAAACTAAGATATTCGCGTTTTAATTTCACTTCGGTTACGGGAAATTTGAATTACCCGCGGGTCACAGGAAACGCAATACGCTACGTGAGTCAAATCGCGCCCTACAACGGTTTTGTCAAGCTCCTCAATCAGACATTGTTCATTTCCCACCATTTATTTTTCAAAGTGTAAACAATTTACTCCAGCTGAGTCGAAGCGTCAAGATTGAGGTTGCTGGTTTTCACATTGCAGAGAGGGTCATGGCAATTTTTAGTGTGCGATTTCACTTACGTTGACCGGTGAGTTTTCATGGGCGGGTGGTTTGAATTCACGCGTGAGGAAACATTAAATATATTGGTTAGGAGTTGCTTTCAGTAATTTTCGTTGCGCAAATCGTGTTCTACGTAAAATTTTGTCTACAAAATATGTATAAAAATGCTTAAATTCGTACCTTGTATAGTGGTCCATTAAATGTGCTTTTTGAATGACCTCGTACATCTTTGCTACCGTGATAGCAAAGAGAGCAATAAGTCGGCGGTGTAAATCCGCAACCACGAGTCTCGGTTGCGGTGTTTGAAAATCTCCTCTCCTATATGTAGGTGCTCTAACCATGCACTCCAAGGACATGAAATTACCATTCATCTACCTGGTTTTTTATATTTTGAAAAATACCTCAAGAGAAACTCATAATGGAGATGTTGCATGTGTGAGGAATTTGTGATATGACTATTGATTCTTATGTAA